ACACTTCATGGTTTAGTCCTTCACAATGCATTCCAGAGTCGTGAGGGAATTGGCTGATCTAGTCACCAGGCTGCTCTCCATGATATTTCAAAAGTCCTGGGTAAAGTCCCTGGTGAGTGGAAGAAGGTAAACATTGCACCCATTTTTAAAAAAGTTAGAATGGAGGACCCTAGGAACTACTGCCCCATGAGCCTCACCTCTGTGCCTGGGAAGATCATGGAACAGATCCTTCTAGAAGCTATACTAAGGCATGTGGAGGATGGTGAGGTGATTCAAGACAGCCAGCATGGCTTTGGTATGGGCAAGTCCTGCCTGACCAACTCTTTTGCTGACTGCTTGTCCCAATAAGAATGACATTATCATTTATAAGCAGCATACCAGCCATATTTCTCCCTTCAGTCTTGCATCATATGCCAAGGATCCAAGGTGGCCGGCTACTGGTGGAATAAAAAGGTTTAAGTATTCACTTACTATGCTGGATGCAGTAGTAGCAGGGGCAAACTGACCGAGGACCCCAGCAATTAGCCCAGCTCCAATTGTGTGGGCTGAGAACAATGCCATTGTTCCTTCCCCTGCTCCCAGCTGTGCTGATGTCCCACCACCACTGGGAGCTCTGACTACAGGAGGCAATTGGCAGACCCTTCCAGTAAATGGAGAGCCTACACAGTATGTTTACTACATAAGCAAACTTCCTCCAACCCACCATAAGCAGAGCCAGCTTTTATGCTGTTAACTCAGAGGCAGGACATCTGATGTTAATGCTGAAGGCAGGGCATCTGGTGGTGAACTCCTCATTGGTTCCCACCCAAGGCTGGCCAGACCCTGGATGAAAACTGATCAGGAAGGCTTTTCTTGCCTGGTTGTGGACATCACCCACATGTCAACCCTCATTCAGGGCTGGGGGTTTAAACCCCAGCACTTTACCAACCTAGTGGCTTTCTACAATGGAGTGAGTACTCAGTGGACAAGGGAAGAGCACTGAACGTGATCTATCTGGATTTCTGGAAGGCTTTTGACATGGTCCCCCACAACATCTTTCTCTCTAAGTTGGAAAGATACAGATCTGATGAGTGAACTGTTCAGCGAATAAAGAATTAGTTGGATAGTTGTATCCAAAGGGTAGTGGTCAATAGCTTGATGTCCAGATGGAGATAAGTGACAAGTGGTGCCCCTCAGGGGTCCATGCTGGGACCAGTACTGTTTAATATCTTCACCAGTGACACAGACAGTGGGATGGAGTGCACCCTCAGCAAGTTTGCAGATGACACCAAGCTGAGTGGTATGGTCAACATGCCAGAAGGATGTAATGTCAGCCAGAGGAACCTGCACAAGCTTCAGAAGTGGGCCCAAGTGAACCTCATGCAGTTCAACAAGGCCAAGTACAAGGTCCTCATTATCAATACAGGCTGGGGGATGATGTGATAGAGAGCAGCCCTGCAAAGAAGGACTTGAGGGTACTGGTGGATGAAAAGCTGAACATGAGCCAACAATGAACACTTGCAGCCCAGAAGGCCAATTATGTACTGGGCTGCATCAAAACAAGTATGGCCAGCAGAGAGGTGATTCTGCCCCTCTACTCTGCTCTGGTGAGACCTCACCTGGAGTCCTGTGTCCACTCAAGCCCTCAGCACAGGAGGGACACGGACCTGTTGGAGCAGGTCCAGAGGAGGGCCACAAAAATGATCAGAGGGCTGGAGCATCTCTCCTATGAGGACAGGCTGAGAGAGCTGGTGGTGTTCAATTTGGAGAAGAGAAGGCTCTGGAGAGATCTTATAGTAGCCTTCCAGTATCTGAAGGGGGCCTACAGAAGAGCTGGAGAAGGACTGTTTACAAGGATGTGCAGTGATAGGATGAGGGACAGTGATTTCAAACTCAAGCAGGGTAGATTTAGATGAGACATTAGGAAGAAGTTCTTTACTATGAGGGTGCTGAAACACTGGAACAGGCTGCCCAGAGAAGTGGTGGAAGCCCCATCCCTGAAGACAGTCAAGGTCAGGCTTGATGGGGCTCTGAGCAACCTGAGCTAGTTAAAGATGTCCCTGCTTGCTGCAGGGGGTTTGGACTAGATGGCCTTTAAAGGTCCCTTTCAACACAAAGCATTCTATGATTCTTTCTAATGTGGACAGAGATACAGCAGAATAAGGACCCAAAGCCTGCTAGACAGCAGCTTTTCCATCAAATGCCCTCTGGGGAACACTGACTCAGCCTTATTTCTTCTGGAAGCAAACCTTCACAACCACACACAGTGTGCCCCTCTTGGTGAGAGCATATATCTCAGCCCTCCTTACTGGATCATGTTCCTCTTTGCCATGGGAGTGCCTCTGAGCAGCACTCCCTTTCCTGCCTCCCTGCACTCTCTCTAACTGGTTTCAAACAATTTTTTTCAAAGTACTCAGTTTGGTGCCATTAAAAAAAAACAAAACAAAAAAACACACACATAAACTGTAAGGAGAAGCAGGTGTATTTTAACATAGATTCCCACAGGCATGAAGGTTATTTATGGTAGGGCAGAGGTAAACTTCCAGCCCAATTCTATAATTAGCCCAAGAATAACTAAGACCTGCCACTAGCTAATGCTTGGGTGTGACAAATTAAGCATCAAGTCAAATGGAATACGTCAGACAAGAAACACCTACCTGCGCTCCACACAGGAGCTACAATTGTTGGAGAAAGGTAACTACTGCCTTACTCATTTTTGAAAGCTAGTACCTATTCTTCTCTTGTTTCTTTCAAGCTCTTTTTGCTTTTCTAAGCTTTTCTCTTCTCAGGGCATTACATGAACAGGTTTTGATTCCCTAGCACAAGATGTCACTTCTGTATGGACTTGGATTGAGGCAAGTTATTTGACCGTTTTGCTGATCCCTGAAATTTTACAATATCAGTTTGTTAGTGTAGCCTGAATCCTAAAGACTGCTGATGCACTTGTGTTACCTGTTTATCTGTCTCCCTCTGTACATTTAGAACTGCCAAAGGATGTCAGTCACACTGAAAGAGGGCTCAGAAAAACAAACTAATAAACAAACCATCCCCATCTTTATAAACTCCATGGCAATATAGCTCCAGGTAAAGAAAAGGGAAACAAGGAAAGCAAAGCAGAGTGTCTCTCTTAGCCACCCTGTGTAGCAGCTTCTATAGTAAATCAGCTCCGACATACTTCACCTCTTCCTCAGTGGGGAGCATCATGGGTAACAGAGGGGATGTGGGGTTGTTGTGGCATGTAAGAATGCCAGAGACAAAGCATGGAATCCAAATGTCTTCAGTTTTGCTCACTGCAGAATTTATTCTCATTCTAGTTCTGGTGACTGCTCAAGCTCTCACTGTGGAAGCACCTGACAAGGAAATAAAGGTGGCACGAGGGAACGACGTTACTCTCCACTGTCATTTCAAAACAGAGGCTGCTATTACCTCAGGAGACCTTGTTGTCTGGAAAAAGATCAATAGTCCGGTAAATCAAGTTGCATAAAGAAACACATGATAGGGCAACCCAAGAGCAAGGTAGGAGGAGAGATGGAAGCAGGATATGTGTTGGAAGAAGAAGGCTCCTCCAAGACTTCTTTAACCTCAGAACTGTGCAAACACACTGATTCTAGATGCAATCTATCCCAAATCTATTGCATGATACTAGATAAGCCCCCACCCTTTTCTTTCCCCTCTCTTAGTCTTTCAACTGTGTATTGAGGATGCCTCACTGTATGTACTATGGGTTTACATCTATTAAAATATGTGAAATAGATACTTTATTAAAAGATATATATTTTTTAAACTATATGTATTATACATAAATATTTACATAGATTTACATATCTTTGAATACTATATTAAAAAAAAAATAAGTTGATGATAATAGTACATGGAGAGATTCTTGAGGTCTCATCCATGGATATGGAATATTTGAAGGTAGACAGACCTCTAAAGTTCCCCTTGACTTCTTGGGAATTAGTGAGAGGAGAAGCAGCCTTTGGAGATCATGCAGTAAGTGCCAAGGATTTCTTTCCTGAAGGTCCTTGCTGGAAGAAAGCAAAGTAGTTTGTGTAATCCTAGGGGAATTTGACTGACATATGGAACTCCAACAAACCTCACAGCATCCTGTCATAGAGAGGAAAGGTGAATAAGCCTGAGCAAAAGAAATTGCTAGTCTCCGACTTCAGATCAGCAAGGAGAAGGGGATTTCAGACAGAAACCCAGGCCCTTTTGAATGTCTATGTTCTTCTTGGCTTTTTGACAAACTGGGGCAGTTCAAGGCCTTCTTTTCGAAGCTGCTCGTCTTTTTGAGAGTGGGCTGATCCATGGAGTTAGGTTGTAGATTCACACAGAAGAAACTAAGACTGATCATTTTCCCTCCCTCTTTATCAGAATGATGCTGTCACTAGGTATTTTGATGGACTTGTACAGTATGGCGAGGGCTATGAAAACCGTGTACAGTTTATTGGTGATGCAAACAAGGGGGACATCAGTATCACCATCAATGCAGTGACCATGGAAGACAATGGGACGTATGCATGCAGCGTTCGCCTAAGGAATGACCCCCCCAGGGAGGCTGCAATCTTGACTCTTTTGGTCCTTGGTAAGCATGATGGAGGCAACACCAGATCCGTTAGATAAAATACTGTCCTACTTTTAATATCCATATTGTTTTAGACAACAGACTTTCTAACAGGAAATAAAAACTTCCCCAGTAAGTAATCATCCGCAGTTTCATCTTTGGTCTTTTCCTACCACTATGAAAGTAGGTTGGAAGGCTTAGAGCACCCAACTGTCTTAGATGCCTGATGGTAGAAAATAGTTTTTAGTTTTTTTATATTGTATAGTTTATTTTCCTAATAACTCTTGCCTCATTACAGGGCATTTCTCATTCTCCGTGTGGCTTGTCATACTCCTGTTAACAGAGGATGTTACCCAACACTATTAGACATATCCCCAAAAGCATCTTACAGTTCCTTCTTAGCTGACCAGTGCCAAGAAGGAGAAACAAATTAAAGACAAGTTCACTCTAGTTCCTTTGAGAAGAAGGCGATATCTGCAAGACCAGCCTCTGTTTAAATAAGAATAAAAACCACAGGTGCAGGAGATGGGTTGAAACACAAAACTACTTCTCATTAAATAAAATCCCTTTCTTTTTAATTCCTTCAGTTGCACCATCCAAGCCAGAATGCAAGATTCTGGGGACAGCAGAATATGGACAGACAATCAATCTGACCTGCATTTCTCATGAGGGCTCCCCAAAGCCCAGATATACATGGCAAAGCTTCAATGTACAAAATGAGCCCCGTGTACTACAAGCGACAGAAGGTATGGGAAATTTAAAGACATCAAATCTTTGAGTTCTCTTTAAATCAGGGCTGGAAATAATTTGAAATGCAAATTCAAAGACATGGATTTTTTTCTAGGAAGGTCTCTGAGCAGGATTTTGAAAAGTTGTCCTTTTGATACAAAACACACTCACAAGTAACTCAGCAAGGGAAAAAAAAAAAAAAGACTGTTACCTGAAGTAACAATGGTCATCAGTAAGATTTTTATGTCAGCTCTCACCTAGCAAGAAAGCCAGACAGAAATAATTACTTCTCAGTTACTGGGCCTAAGCAAGACATAGCACGAGGAATAACATCAAGTTTTCTCACTAGTGTGTCTTTATATCCCAGCCTGTTCAGCAATGGCCTTCTGGGGTGTAGGCAAACAAAAGCTGGCTCTGGAAGCTACTTTCCTTCCAGAGATGACTCCTCACCTAGAGGAAGGTGGTATGAGAAACACACCAGCATGAAAGAGGCTTCTCGTTGTTCAGGACTTGCCACACAGACCCGAGTATTTTATTTGTTTTCCTTTTAAGTCAGAATTGGGGGTTGGGGAAAGAAGAAGGAACTGCATTTCCACAACAGGATTTTTGGTAGAACTGTTCACATAGAAACGAGGGCTTAATACTTCTTGAACTGTAGGAGTGACAGAGGACTCAGATTTATTCCTTGAAACAACTTTGTTTCTTCTGGGTATGTTCAGCTCCAGAAAGACTGAGTATCTGAACCTGCCCTTCCTGGTTTAACTCTTTATAGCATCACTACAGAGGTAAACTAAGCATGACCAGACTCAACAGGTTACTTAACACTCAGTAGCTGATTCTTGCACAAATCATGTAAAAGACAAATACCACCAGAGACACAAGCCTTATTTGTTTGACTGGCCACTAAGTGGTGCCAGCACATCATGCAGAGCCCCGAACAGACTGGAGTTGTCATCTTAGAGCAGCAGCAGTTGCCTGCCTGCTTCTGCAGTCACCCTCTTCTTCCCTGGGACAGGACTCTCTTCTGATCCTTTCCATCTCACTTCTGTTTTCATCAGAGCACCAGCAGATATCCAAGTAGTATGCCAACTGTCCCTTTCTGCCCCAAGCTGGCTGGATGCCCTGCTGTCGCTACAAGCAATTCCCTTCTGTGGGTCCCTGCACTAAGCAAGTCCCAGTGCTGCACCACATGCAGCGTTCCCCTTAGGAGCCACTCCAAAATTTATAGTATTTGACCTACATTTTTGCTAATTTGACCCACCAGTCAATTTTTTCTTTAAATAGGAGTTTGCACTCCATTTATACATTGCAACTCTGACAGCTATAAACATCACACAGGAAAAAAAAAAAAATTAAACACGGACATTATATAGAGACTAAACCCAAACAAAACTCAAGCATGCAGTCTGTTATTTCTAGGTTTGCATGCTCTTTTACAGCTCGGCGCTAGGTGCCAGCAGAGGCTAAACAGAATCCCAGTCCCATGAGTGGGCTGGGAAGAAGTGAGGGGATAAAACAGGGAAGTCACTGAAAAGTATTCAGAGCCTTTCGCTTTCAGAGCAGGAATCCGGACTTTTATCGGTAGATCACAAACAAAAAGCATGGACTGTACATATAAGTATCAGCTGCAGATGTAACAAAAACTGACTGCCTGAGCAGACAGAGCTAATCTTTAGCATATGGTTCTGAGCCCTGTTAGGCTGCACAGAAAACATCAGCATCCCAGCAATCCCATATCACTGCCTTTCTTTTTCTTCATTTATTTTCACAGCCTGTGTTGCCTTTCCCAGACAAGAAAACTATTTCCCCCACTGCTAAATATTTCAGATCTGGAATCCTAAGAGCTGGAGGTTTGAAGAGCTTCTTGTTTTACAAGTTAATTCATTAGATGGCCATTTCTTAAAGCCAGATGCCAGTTTGGGCCATCTTATATTTCTCAGCAAACTCCAATGTAAAAAAGCTTTAATTAAGCACACACACTTCCATACCCTCCACCTACAACTTTCTTTCTAAAAAGAATGTTCAAATGCCATGTGTTCCCTGTAATCAAAACAGCACATTTCTGTTTGTCCTCCCACAAATCACACTAAAACCTAGGGACTAGCATGGCAGCTCCTGAGCAAGACAGAGCAATCCATCAACTTTAATAACCTCTCAACACTCCCACTGCCCTGAGCTGGAATTGAAGAGCTGCCGCCCCTATTTCATTCCCTTCTGTAATTCTTTTCTTTTTTGGACTGGACTTGTGTTTCACAACAGGGCAACAAATAACTCTGAAGAACGTCTCAGCAGATACCTCTGGCTTTTACATCTGCACTTCAACAAACATTGTGGGAAAGGAGTTTTGCAACATGACAGTCAGCATCGTGCCACGTAAGAGATGGGGTTGCTTACTGGAAGAGTTGTACCAAATAAAGTATCCTAGCTAAGTGTCTATGGCTTAACAAAAGCAATACAGACAAGTATAAAATTCTGCCTTCTTCCCCCCCCTCTGCAAAAAAAAAAAAAAAAAAAAAAAAAAATCTCTGCATTGGTTTACATGCTAATAGAGCACTTACTAATTCACAGAATTAGTTCACAGATGACAAAAAAAGTGTAGAGTGAGATAGGCCTGAGCCTCCAAAGTCTGGAACTAAACTGTACTCACAAGCTACAGTAGTTGTTCAGGTCCAGGGGCTCCTCTTTATCACCAATTGCTCCTGCAGACTTCTCAGCTACCCAGTACAGAATTAATTTGCAGTTGCTGTAGTCAAACGTGGGTTCCACACAGACCCACATGTAATCTGGTATCTGGTGGTGGGATTTGAATTCCAGTGATTGTGTTGGTTGCATTTGATATCATCCTCCCTGCAACGGGCTAATTATTTCCTTCCTGTACAGCATCCATGAACATAGCTCTCTACGCTGGCATCATTGGTGGAGCTATTGCTGCAATTGTAGTTATCGGTATTTTCGCCTATTGCTGCTGCTGTCGGGCAGACAAGGACAAGGACTATGAGATGACGTAAGTACCTTTTGCTAGGGAAGTGATGGGACATATGAAGGGTTCGTCTTCCTCTGGCATCACTGTATGCATTGGAAAGCACAGGAGAAAAAGAAAGCGTGCACTGCTTTCTCCTTTCAGTTTCCACCCTAGTGACTCCTATTCCTTCTCACATAATATGCCCAGGATTACCAGTCTCCTTTGTGGTCTCTGGGTAGAACCCAAACATTCAAATCTTGGAACTGAATCAGCAAGCCTAAGTCAGTCAAGCATGCACAGCTACTCAATAAGCAAAGCCCAGACTTGTTTCTCATTTCTCTGAGTCCTTATAGCCATTTCTGTCCTTGCTAGCCTAAATCACCATGACACTCTGTATTCAGAATTATGACTCCTAAGACAGAAATTTTTTTGTTTATTCTCATGATAGAAACAGAGCCATGGAGGAAAAGCAGGATGAAGAAAGGTACACCAGTTATCCTTTCTCTACACAGATGCTTTTGGGGGAAAAAAAAAAAATCAAACAAACAAACAAACAAAAAAACCCACAACAAACCAAAAACAAACAAACAAACAAACAAAGAAAACAAAAGACAAACCCTATCTCATAGGCCACTGGCATCACCAGAAAGATGTAATCTTTGGAGTTCAGTTTGGTACATTTCCAGGTCAACTTAGAGCAGTCTAAAACCATTCCAACAATAAATATCTTTGGTAAAACTTCTAGCTGATTTTAATTAACATCTCTATTCCTCAACAATGTTTTAGGGAGCGAGAAGATAGAAATGAACCTTACATGGAGACACCTACAAGGACTCGGAGAGCAGAGGATGATGTTGAAGATGAATGAAGAAAGCAGGAGGCCATCTTCAGGATTTGCTGAGGCACAGACACCACTGTAGAAAATAAATCAATCCCTCTTTCTTCCTTCAAGAAGGTTTTTTTGAATAATAACAATGAAAGCTAATGGCTCAGCCTTCAACTTCCGGGACAGAATATCCTTGTCTCCCTGGAAAGAAGCACTCAACGTACAATGAGTACCAATATGTTACCTCATAGCAGAGAGCTGCATGTGAAGCACTGTTTCACCCAGTCATCCAAAAATAACCAGTCTTCTAAACCTCCCACTTTCTGAAAAAAGATGCCAGTCAGGTCTGTTTGGAGAACAGAGTTGCTGCTGTAACCCTGGATTTACAGAAAGTTTTAAGGTCACCAACAGCAACTCACAGAGTAAGAGTTTGCTTGTTTACAGCATTATGCAAATGTCACAGCATTGTCCAGTATAGAAATTACTTCTATGCAGAATGAAGCAAGCTGAATTTTAAGGATATTTTATATACAAAGAACATTTAATATTACAATGGACATATAAATAAAAACATGGAAAAAAAAATTCACAGATGACCAAAGTCTGATGTTTGGAACAACAATGCATACTAATGGAATGGATAAAGTAAGACATTAGATGGATTTGTAATTAGTAGCTGATAAGATCTAGGAACACTCTAGTAGCCTATATACTGTCAGATTCCTGAATTTAAGAGTTCCAGCTCAGAGAATTCCTCAGTACTAGTTTTCATGACATCCTTTCCTCCTTACTGTTTCTTGGGCAAGTCAGAAACAGTCCATTGCTGCTGCTTCTGAAAAAAATGACAGCGTGAGAACATGTACATGGCAAGTGCGTCTGTTATAAACAGAAAAAAAAAAGGGGGGGGGGCAGAAAAGTACCTTTTTATTAAGAACTGTAACAATTCAATTTAATCAGAACTGCTGTATGTACAAAATGTGTGCAAAGAGATGTGGAGAGAACTCCCATCATGAGCATCTTATCTTTGGAAAAGAATAGACTTTGTCCAAAACACTGTCAATATGATATTAAAGCTAATGAATAGCTGTTTGGTTTGGGTTTGTTGTTTGGTTTGGGTTTTTTTATGCTATCGTATTTATGCTTTCAAAGCTCTCTATTGCATCTTCAACTTCAGGATGTTCAGAAGCATACTGCAGTACCTCCCACGTGCCCTTTAGGCCCAAGCAGTTACTTTTCAGTGTCTAACAAAAAATCCTAAATATAGGTTAAAGAAGAACCAGCAATCCTCCTACACTCAAGCAGCATTTTCTAGATTTTTAACTACACAAATCAGACCACCAGAACTGTTACTCTGGCTTGCTTTCTGGCTGACTTTGTTTTACATGGTGCTGAAAATATCATTATTCATTTGTACTAATAACAAAAGCAAGACCAACAACCAGAGTTCTTTACAAAGTACGCACAACCTCAAATCTCTCTGGCAATGAACAGCCTGGAACACAACTCAACAAGAGTTCTGAGGAACTATTCCTGTGCTAGGTTTTTTGCACGACAAAATGCTGCAAGAACAGAAGACTAAAAAAGAAAACAGAAACTGAAGACAGATTAAAAAAGGAGGCACATGGCTCAGAAACAGCACTGATAAGTATTTTTGTAACAAGCAAGTATAGTAAGAATTACCTAATCAGCATTGTAGCCAGTTTTTACTGTGAAACAAAAGCTGTTTCTTTTATAGATGTTACAGGCATTAGTCAGCACTCTGCATTCCCTCACAAACACCTGTACCCTGGGTCTGAAGAAGGCTTCTGCTAAGGGATAATAGTGTGGGTTTTCAAAGATCTTAACTAGAAAGACCAGAAAGAGGACTTGACAATTTTCAGAAGTATCGATGGCCAGAAACTGTCTGTGGCCTCTGCACCATTTTAACACTGTTACCTGGCCCATGCTCTTCACTCTTAGGACACCTGAAGCTAAATTGCTGCTTGTCAGTTGAAGTCTTAAACTAACAATTGCATATTGGTCATTTTTAACTGTAAAGAAAGATGCAGATAAGCAAATTTGCATTAAGTTACCTGAAGAAACCAGCCACAAAATACATAAAAGATTACATAATGACCCCCAAACCCGTTAATTCAATTCTCTGTAAGCAAGTACTGTAAGAACTAGCAAAGAAAAAGCAAGAGTCAAAACTTAACAAGCATTAAAGCAGAACTACTTATGTTCTGCAACACTAAGCTCAGTTCTACACCAGGAAATAAACTAAGCAAGAGGACAGACAGCAGAGATATTTCTGTGCTGCTTATAAATTTATTCTTTTTTTTCCCTTTTTTTATAAGACTACATTTTGGAAGTTGTATGTTTATCAAAATTCTACATGCGTTTTTCCTCCACCAATTTGTTAACATCAGTCAGCCAGAAACACCCATATTCAAATTCTTATCTTACTCTAAGGTTTTCCCATGACTGAATTAGTTATGTGTCATGTATGTCTTTTGAAGCAGGAATAACTCCAAGAGCCTGTAGTATACCCACAAATTTGAACAAAATTAAAGAAGCACTAACGTATCTGAGGAAAAGATAGGGAAAGCAAGGAGTACTTAATGCCACAGAATTAACATAAGTATACCCAGCTTCGATACTTTCTTCCCCCAAAAGGTGAGAGGTAGGCAGAGAATGAATCATCACGCAGAAAAGTAAATTCCTACTTGACCCTTTACACATCCTATAGTAAATTACTGTCTAGTTACGTTCAACTTTCACATGGAATAATATGCACATATAAGCTTTATCTGCACATGAACAGGAAGAACCAGAACACAAGAATTTAAGCCCTCACCAAACCATTTTCCCACCTGCAGGACTGCTAAGATCTGTTACCCCAAGCGGAACAACCACCACACTAAGATGTTGATACCTTGTTGCTTAACAAGATTTGGTTTGGCAAGCATACCAAAAGAATATTTAAAAATTACCTGTTTTTCCTTCTGAGCCTACCTCAGCAACCTGCAACAGGCCATTTACTCTATAATGGAGCATGAAAGAAGCAAAGAAGTCCACTCATCAGTCTGGCAACCTGGTCAGAAGCAGGCAAGACAAATCTTGCGTGTCCTTTGAAGAGCTGCCTCGCCCTACATGGCTCAAAGCAATCACATTAACCAAGACCATGCCACATTTCCCTCCTGTGTTTAAGGGGAAGAACATCTCCCCAGAACCCTTCTCCCCAGCACCCTTCTGCCCAGCACCCTTCTTCCCAGCTTTGTTTCCATCCACATTAACATTTTCTATTGCTTATAACACTCTGAAAACAATACACTACACTCCTAACCGAGGAAACAAAAAAAGTTTGTTATTTGTTCCTAATATCAGTCACTTAGCTTTTAAGATTTATTCCTATCTAGTCACTTTTCATCCAAGGAACTCGAAGGTCTACTGCATGTTGCAAGCAAATCACTATCATTTATGAGGGACAGGATGAGGGGATAAAAGTTAAATGACACAGGGACACAGATCAGGACAATACAGGAGAAGCATCAAGATAAGGAGGAGCTTGGATTCCCAGTCCTCTGACACACCACCACCCTCAAGGTTTATTCTCATCAACACCCTTGTTCCTCTTTCACCTTCCGAATTACCTTTTTGTTGTTGTTTCCTTCTTAGTTTTGGGCTTTCTTCTTGGCAAAGTTCCTCTCCTGCCAGTCCTGACTGTACTGTCACAAAGGGTTCTTCCTTCCTAGGTGCAGGACTTTGCTGCATTTCATAAGGTTCCTATTAATCCACTCCTCCAACTTGTTTGGGACTCTTCCTTGATGGCAGGTAAAAGTTCTGCCCTCAAGCATACTGGTTGTTCTCCCTAGTATGGTGTTTCCTGCAGGCAAGAGCTCTCTTCTTCACCTCCAGATGACCGCTAAAGACACTAAATAAGCTATGGTATAGAAATTATAGAAATCTCCAGTGCGCTACCAGCCTCCACATAAAGTATGACCAGATTTTTACCAATCTGGTTGTCCACACACCTAGACTGTAATATCCCAACTTGGACACGAGCATACTATGAGAGACTGTACTGAAAGCCTTGCTAAAGTCACTACTGACCACTACTGGACCTGAGCAAAGCCTTTGAC